AAAGACCTATATGTCTAGAGATATTACTATACTAGAAAATAACTTTATAACTAATAATAATAATAATAAAGAAAGTCTAGAAATAATAATAATATAAATAAAGACCTTAATAGTAATAAAGATAATAGTAATACTAATATATCTAAAGATAATATAATAATAGAAATACCTAAGATTAATAAAGAAGATTATATAGACTATAAAGAAGATAATCTATTTAATACTATAGAAGATTATCCTTCTATTAATATATTAGCTCCTTCAAATAGAGCTGAAGATAAAGCATCTTATATACTATCTTCTAATATATTAACTAAACCTTCTACTTTTAAACAATTTCTAGAAGATAATAATAAAGATAACTGGATAAAAGGTATAAATAAAGAAATTAAAGAATTAGAAAATAATAATACATAGACTATTATAAAAAATAATAATAATAATAATATTATTAAAGGAAGATAGGTATATAAAATAAAAGAAAAAACAGATAATAATAATAATAAAATAGAGAAAATATATAAGGCAAGATAGATAGTACAAGGCTTTAATTAACACTTAGGTATTGATGATTTAGAAACCTTTAGTACTACTTATAGGCCAGAAAGCTATAGATATATAATAATATTAGCTGTTGCTAATAACTAGTATATGCAACAATATGATGTAACTAATGCCTTTGTGCATACTAATATTAATAAAGATATATATACTATAATTCCTACTAGATATATATATAATAAAGAAGCTAATAAACTAGTTTTTAATAATAAAAATCCTTTATATAATAATAATAAAGAATATATATATAAATTAAATAAGGCCTTATATAGTTTAAAACAAAGTCCTAGACTATAGTATAAGCACTTAAAAGATATATTTATAAAAGAAGGCTTTAAAATATCCCCTTATAATGAAGCAGTATTTATATATAATAAAAATAATAATAAAATAATACTAGCTTGTCACGTAGATAATATATTAGTAGTTGGAAATAATAAAGAATTTATAGATAATCTATTTAATAATATACTACTTAAATATATAAAAATAAAGCCTATAGGAATACCTAGTATATTTCTAGGAAATAAAATATATATAGATTATAAAAATAAAAGCGTATATATACATTAAACTAAATATACAGATAAGATATTAAATAAATATAATAAAAGGGATTTATATCCTTATAATACACCTATAGATAATAATATAAAGTTATATGAAAATAAAGGATAAGTAACTAAGGAAGAAATATTAAAATATTAGCAAGAAATAGGTGCTTTAATATATTTAGCACTAAAAACAAGAATAGATATAACTCTTCTTGTTATAACTTGTTCTAGATATATAAGTAACCCTTCTAAAGAGTATTTTATTGCCTTTAATAAAATATAGGGTTATTTAAATAAATATAATAATTTAGGAATATATTATAACTGTAATAATATTAATAATTTTGATATAATAGGTTATACTGATTCTAACTAGGCAAGAGATCTTAATGATAGAAGATCTACCTTTGGTTATATATATACTTATAGATATTATAATCTTATTAGCTAGAATTCTATAAAACAAAAAACAGTAGCTTTAAGTACCTGTAAAGCTAAATATATAGCTTTAACAGAGGCTATAAAAGAAGCTATATATTTATATAATAGCTATAACTATATAAGAATAAATCTAGGGTTTAGTGATTTAAATAAACCTAGAATATTAATAGATAATAAAGCAGCTCAAAAGCTAGCAGAAAATCTAGAATTCCATAAAAAAGTTAAGCATATAAATATAAAATATCACTTTACTAGAGATACTATAATAAATAAATAGGTATATTTATATTATATAAATACAAAAGATAATATAGTAGATATTTTAACTAAACCTCTAGGAAAGGTTTTATTTTATAATATAATAAATACTATAAATATAATAGATAAAGATACTATACCTAAATATAATAAACAAGAAGAAAATAAAAATATAAGAAATAAGTATATAAATAATAATAAGAATAATAATAAATAATATATAAAGAAGAGTAATATATATATATATAAATAAGTTACTATCTCTTGTTTTCTCCTGCTTATAAAGGTTTTAAAGAGATTAGTAAAATATATATTTAAGTATATATACTTAATAATAAATAGCTATCTTAAATTTTTCTTATTAAGGTTTTTATAGATAAGCTATATATAATAAATTATATATACCTTAAGGGGGGGTATTAGATATTAAGGTTTAAAGACCTTATATATATAAAAATAAGATAATAACATAATAAAGAAGTAGAATATATATTACAGTATTAATAATACTATATACACTATATACACTAGATATAAGAATAACTACTTAAGAAACAACTATATATACTATATAATAATAATATTTATATATAAAGAATAGGTCTTTTAAGTAAGACCTCCTCCTTCTCTAAGGAATTAAGAATATAGTTCTAGGTTACATAAGGTAAACAGATAAAATAATACCCTGCTGTAGGTAAAATAATACCCTATATTCTAATAACCTACCTAATAACCTACTTAATAACCTAGAATACTAAAGAAATCCTTAGAATACCTAAGAGATAAGTATAAGTAATCCTTTTATATCCCTAGGTCTAGTTAGATAGTTAGATCTATAAGCTCTTCTATTATATCTATAATAATATACTACCTTTATATCTTATCTCCTATCTCTTATCTCTTATTTACCCCTTTTGCCTCTAAAAAATACTACTTACTAGACTAACTAGCTTAGCTAGCTACTTTATATAGTTATAGTTAGAGATACTATAAGTAGCTAGATACTAGTTAGCTACTTTTTTACTAAAAAAGGTAATACTAATATTATTACTGCTTACTTATATATATTAAAGGGCTAAGCTAACTAGTAGTTATATTACTTTCTTACTAATAATTTAGCTATTAAATAATACACTATATATAATACTTTTTATAGCCTTATAAATAGTAAAATAAAGGTATTACACTTCCTCTACTATATCTACTATAAAAGAACCCTCTGCTATTATCTTATAAAACACCTAACTAGCCTACGCTATATAATCTCTACGTTAAAATATTACTATATAAGGCTAGGTTATTATAAATCTATTGCTACTATAATAAAAAGTTTAATATATAAGGAAGCCGCCTATATTAAAAATAACTAGCTACTAACACTTAACCTCTAGGCTAACTATACCTATAACTATTTACTACTACTACTCTAGGCTAAAATAACTAACCTACTTAAAGGCCTTTATAGTATTATTAAGCGTAGCTACTATTATATACTCTAGTAATTTAGCCTCTAAGGGGCTATTAAGTATATTAACTATATTAATAGTAAATACTTTACTACTACTAAGCTATACCTTATAAACTTTTATAGTAAAGTCCTTTATAAATAATAGGTCTTACCTTATCTTTTTTACCTACCTATACCTATATAAAAGTTAATTACTAGTAAACTTTATAAGGTAAAGATAGCTACTACTAATAGTTTAAATTTACGTTATAATATATAGACAGGTAACAATAGGCTAGTATATAACTATAGCTTTTATAAGCAGTAGCTTTTACTTTACTAATATATCCTCTAATAGGCTATAACTAAGGATAATATTATAGGCGCCTACTAGTAGTAATAGATATAAGGCTAAGGTAAGGCTAAGTACAAGATATATAAGGCTTATAAGGTATACTATATGCTATATATAGCTAACTATAAGGGTATTCTTATCCCCTCTAGGCTTACTGTTTAAAGCTATATAGAGGTTTTATTAAATTAATACTATTAACAAGAGGAGGCCTATTATAATAAGTAACCTAATTACCTTGCTTAGTATATAACACAAGTAAAAGAGGCTATTACTTAGCTAGTAAGTCTTATACTTAATAATTAGTAGTAGGGCACTTTAGTTAGCTATAATAGTTAATTTATACTTTTTAATATTATAGGAGGCAACCTAGTAAAAAATAGAAATATAAACCTTACTGTTAATAAAGTAATAAATAGTAGTAATATAAAGGAGAAAAAAAACAATAGTTAACGCAGTAGGTAGGCAAGGTGTTTATATATAGGTACAGATGTAGGTACATCTATGCTAGCCCCCCTAGTATACCCCCTATACTGCCTCATTAGGTTTAATGCTGACTTCAGGAGAAATAGGTGGCCGCCAGGGCAAAAGTTCCTAAGGTACGCATGCGCACAGATGCCAGCCCCGCAATGTGTCTGCCTGTTAACCGCTACCAGTATCAGCCCACCTACTCACCCTTGCAACTTCAAGAGTTTCCCTCCCAGTTCCAGTCCAACCCCAAAGTTCTCCCTCCGACTATGTATTAACAAACACTACACGAGTAGGGCAATATGATACCCTAGCAATTCGTGATCCTCTTCTGAGGGTAGAATCCTCCAAAAGGCTGGTTTGTGCTGTTGAGTTCAAGGTGCATTTAGACATGAAAGAGATTAGCTATTTTCTTCTCTGTTGCTGTACATAAAAAAGGCTAGCCTGGTCTGTACATGACCTAAGCTAGTACTGTGTACTCTAGTGCCTGGTAACGGCAATCCCTAGGGTTGGGAGCAAATCCGCGAGACAACCTACACAAGCGGATAAGGCCATCGCAGGTTTCTCCTCGTAATGTAATTATATTTGTTGAAAGGCTGACTTTTGCTTCTAGCAAATACAATTCTATCAAACTAGAGTCTGCAGAGCTTTCGTTTCCTTTTTTATTATTCTCGTTCCAACTGCCAGAGAAGATAACTCGTCACGATATATAACCCACTTGTTACTGCTACGTAGCTAACGGCGTCGTTTGTAAAGTGACACAACATTTAAGCAAGGCACTGCATAACCTGTGCTCCCCCTCTAGAAACAAACCAAATCAATAAATAAAAGAAAAAAAAGCCCACGAATTGATAGAAGCAGCAGCTGTGGAAGGAAAGTAGCCCTAAGAGGTTATGCATTGACGCAACAACTTGACCAACTACGTCGTCCTTAAAGCATCCAATAACGCCCTTAACGCCGTATTCTTCAGGCCGGTGGCGATTTCGAGGCTCTCGAGCTTTTCAAACAAGGCACTCTCCAGCTGGCGCATCGTCTCTTTTGCAAAGCGCAACGAGTTGGCTTCTTCGACGATATGCAACACCATCTCCTTGTGGCTAACGCTCATGCTTCCGTTTCTTCGCTGCAAAAAGATATTGCGCAGCAATTGACGGGATTGCGGCTTGGCATGATTCATTGCGTGCAGGATGATGAAGCTGCACTTGCCCTCGTCCAAGTCTTCGCAGAAGCCCTTGGCTTTCGAGTACCGCTCCGAAGTAAGGTTGGAAAAGTCGTCACGGATCTGGAACAGGCGGCCGAAGAGCAGCATAAACTCTTCGACTCCTGGCACTGGGCTTCGTGTCGGGGAGACGGCAACCATGAGACGATATATCATGATGAAGAGAGCGCCCGTTTCTGTTTGCGGGGGAGGGGTAAGGCGGATCGGTCAGCTAGGAGAAGAACTCCGGTGCGGCCTCGTTCGGTGTCACTCACTCCCGTCTATCATTTGTAGGTATTCCTCCACCGTCGGCTGGGCGACCTCATGTGTCCAACGCAGGTCCAAGCCTTGGCCGACGAGGAGGCTTTGCATACCAGCTGGCCAAGAATTGGTATGTAAACACGGGAATGTCCGGTTAAAGACTAGACTCACCAATAAGCTCTTTAGCCAACATAGGATTGCCCGCTCGGCAAGCCCTTGCCACGAGGTCAACGGTCTGATAAACAGCCGAGTTGATAGTTTGGGCCGTGCCAAAAAGCGTATGCGTGGCCGGGCACGACCTTCGCAGTGGCGAATTGTCTTGGACGTCGTCAAGCCTATATTGTACCGTCAGCCGAGTCCAATCCAACCAAGGCAGGCTCATTGACTCACATCAGCGAAGTGTTATGGACACCCGAAACTATTGTCAGTACTAAGTCCAGCTCGGCGGGCGGGACCGGAATCCACGAGGTAAGCGCCCTGATGAGATTGTTGCGAAAGCCCTTGGACTGCAAAGTGCAGATGTAGTCGAACGGCGCCGTGACGGGCTATGTATTATTTGGTTAGTTTGCCGCGACTTCTGACATGGGGGTCCTACTTCATGGATGGCTTACTTCGAGTGTTGCTTCGAGTGGCGGGATCGGGAGCGGCGAAACGATCCGCTGGATTGATTCTTCCTCCATGCTCCACGGCTTCGACGGTGTGCTTGTCTCGACATCACCGTTCACCTTGGGTTTGTCGGTATCGTTGCAGACATCGGCATCATCTCTGTCTCGCTTCACCCCACGATGGGTATTGGTCTGCTGCACCAGCCTGGCCGGGGGGTTTGGTCTGACAAGCATCGGCTCAGCGGGTAGGTATTCCGGCAGCTTTGCCATGCAGAGGCGCACCTTGCGCGACACTTCAGATATCTTGTCCATATTCCCCACGGCAAAAAAGAACTCATCGGCGCCTGAGAGAATTTGCGCATCGCAAAATGCCAAGGCTCGCTTTTCATCTACCTGAAAGAGCGACATGACAGCTTGGACGAGCGGCATCGGCTGCTTGGCGAATCCAAGTCCGTTGCATATCCCATGAAGGCTGAAGTGAACGCCAACGCATAGGGAGACGCCCTGGCAGAGCTTTTGGCACAGGCGCAGTTCTTCGGTGGAAAGGTTGATCTGGAGAAGGCAACTTGTGAGGTCAAGCAATAGCCTGTGCCAATGTTAGCGTGATCGTCGCATATGTGTCCTGGGTATGGTAGCAAGCCCACCTTGATATGGGCTCGATGATGCGTTGTTGACTAAACTCGGTCCATGACTGAATATGGACCGCGTCGTGGTTGAGGCAGCCTTCCGCCCACTGGCTGAGCGTGTCGGTCAGCTCTTGCGCCCTACGTGGGTCTTGCATGGCCATGTCCTCCAGGGCGTTACGCAGCCCCGCGGGGATGACAAGCTTGGCTGGAGGGTCTGCCAGCCCCGGCTCCGGCCGACCGTTTGCTTCCATCGCCAGGTATAATCCTGACATCGGAGTGGGAAGGCTCGACAAGGTTGCTGGTTCCCGGTTCGCCTGGGTGAGTGCTAGCATCGTGGCCGCCATGATGGGGTGGTGTACAGCTTGGAATTGTTTTTGGGGCGATATTTATTGGTATTTTGAGAGAGAGTAGAGAGAGCATCTGAGGGGGGTTGTTATACGATCTACCACACACCAGGAACGGCTGATGATTAATACAACAGGTTAATAGCGCAGTGAGTTTAAAGTTCACGGTGACTTGAGCACCGTTATCACAAGCACGACATGTAATAAAGTTCACGTCCACACCGGGATATCTAGGTAGTACAGGGAATCCAATGTGCCGCCAGCTCTTCCCTCGGCTTCCTTTAAGCTACGACGGAGTTGCGCATTGCCGAGTGCGCCTACCACCCGAGGGACAATAAAAAAGAGCGCAAGCTCTCAAGATCTCATGGCCCTACTTCCTAAGTACCTAAGTATAGGCAGAATGATCCTTTTTAGTACCCTTGGCTTTGTATCCTTGACTATGAAGAACTGATGGGTGCCTCATAAACACGTTTTATTAGTGTACCTCAAGCTGTATTACCTATTGTAGCAGCCGTAGTGGCAGTGGTGATCGGGGTGGTAGGGAACACCGTCGCTCTCTTTTGTCTCCCGAGTTGCCGAACAAGGGGTGTTGGTTCACGGATGGGGGCCCCACGCAGACAGCTGGCCCCGAATATAGACGAAGCACGATCTATGGGGATGGGTAGCCCCTTGAAACTAACCTAGTTGCCACAGACGGGATAAAAAGGGAGTTTCCAAGTCCGGACATCCGCTTTTCACGCTTTTGATATCATCATAACGCAACACTATCAGCAACCTACCTCACCCGGGCTGCTATTTATTAAACAGATCCGTAACGCTGGCATATCTGCTGCTTCATCCGGCTCTCCCGATCTTTCACCAGACACAATGCTTGCCCATCCAAGCAACCTAATCGCTGCCTGCCACCCTGGCTTTCAAATGCTCCTCGTTGGAACCGTATTATCGGTAAGGATTAGTGGATCGGTGCGGGACCCTGCGCCGTGGCTGCAGAGTACACTGACATCGCAGCACAGGTTGTTTTCTATGTCCTGGGAAGGCTGCTCTACAATGTGTATTTCCATCCGCTTTGTCGATACCCCGGTCCCAAACTATGGGCAGCCACCAGGATCCCCTACACGCAAAGCATGGTTACAGGACGATTGCACAGGAGGGTGCTGGAACTGCACCAAGAATACGGCCCAATTGTGAGAATTGGTCCTGACGAACTGGCTTACAACGACAGCAAGGCCTGGAGAGACCTCCACGGCCACGTCAAGGGCCAGACCGGCGACCACGGGAGGGATCCAGTGGCCACGTGGGACTATAGGCATGGAATTATCGGCGCCAAGCGCGAAGACCATCCCCGTTTCCGCCGCGGGCTGACCCACGGCTTCTCAGCGCAGGCCATGAAGGAGCAGCAGCCCATCGTCACAGGCTATGTCGACCTGTTCATCCAGAGACTTCACCAAAGCTGCGCCTCTGGCTCCCGCCCTCTCGACATGGTCAAATGGTACGACTTTGTCACCTTTGATATACTTGGCGACCTGGCGTTTGGTGAATCCTTTAACTGCTTGCAAGGCTCTGAATACCACTCGTGGGTGAAGATCATCTTTGACAACGTTAAAGCGTCCGCCATTGGCATTGAAGCCCGTCGGTTTCCCGCCGTCGCCCGACTACTGGAGTACCTAGTGCCAGCTCACTTGATTGAGCAGCAGAAGCACCACAACGCACTCACCCATCACAAAGTCTCAAAGCGGCTGGCGGCCAAGGGCGAGCGCCCGGACTTTATGCATTCAATGCTTCGCAAGCGAGAGAACAAGACGGTGGGACCTTGGCTGTTGCTGAATGCATGGAGCGTGACGGTTGCTAAAGGAGCTCATAGGAATTCACCCTCCCCGAGCTGGAGAGCACTTCTTCAACCATCATCATGGCCGGTTCCGAAACAACGTCGACTGCTCTCGCGGGAATTACTTATTTCCTAGTCACTCACCCCGAAGTCATGAAGAAATTGTGCAACGAGGTACGGGCCTCTTTCGCGACCGAGGATGAGATTAATATGAACAGCGTGCAAAGCCTACGCTACATGTATGCCATTATCAACGAGGGTATGCGAATGTTTCCTCCGGTTGCCACAGGGATCCCGCGGAAGGTCTTTGAAGGCGGCGGCGTGTTTCTCGACCGGTTTGTGCCTGAAGGTGTAAGTCCGCCCTCCTCCAAGCCCCATGTTGGCAAGAACAAGAATCCTGTGGCAAAGATGCTCATGCGATTCCTGAAGACGCTCGTCCAGGTATGGCACTGGTCCGTGTACCACAGCCCGGGAAACTTTGCATTCCCCGACTCGTTCGTCCCAGAGCGCTGGCTCGACGAAGATGCTCGCTTTGCAAATGACAGGAAGGAAGCCTTTCAGCCGTTTTCGATTGGCCCCCGAAGCTGCATCGGGATGAAGTAAGCAGCGTTTCATACCGGGCGTCTGACTGCTTCGCTAATCTTTATCACTTTCCAGTTTGGCGTATGCGGAGATGCGTCTCATTCTCGCCAGAGTGATTTGGAACTTCGACATAAAACTCCACCCGGACAGCCGGGGCTGGTTTGAAGGGATGAAAACCTACATACTATGGCAGAAGGATCCTCTCCAGGTCTACCTAACGCCGAGGAAGGTCGGCGATGGAAGCCGGACTTTTCAAAGTCCGCCAGATATGTAACGTTGTTTTTCATCTGAAAGCCGGCACCTCGGCCGAAACCAAGGCGGACGTTACCTTGGGTGTAGAGTATCTTCGCCAGGCAAATCCAGAGTTGCTTCAGACCTTTGTTTTTGGCAGACATCGGTCGGTTGAGTCAGTGGCATGGCATAGGCCACATTCAGCCTAGGGGCCGCCGTATCCTTCGGATCAAGAACCACCATTGCGGATCGGTCTCAGCCTTGCATCCTAGAATAAACCTTCTTGCAGCCCCTCCATAATCACGGGGTCCTCCCACTCAGACCTTTGTGAACGGCATTCCCGATCGCCCCGCCGCCGTCGTTCCATTCGTACGGCGCCTCGTGCTTTGCGACGTTGTCGACAACTGTCCTCTTGGCCCCTTCTGGAGTTACTTCTGTCGCTTCTCGCGGTAAGCCTGCTGCCCGGAATCGGTTGGCCCGGAGCGATCTGCGGCTCCGACTTCGCAAAGGGGGTTCCGCTCGCGCGTAGCGATATCTCCGATACCGCCGGGCTCGCTTAGAGGCTATACTTCTCTCTGTAATCTAACAGTCTTTCTTTCTTTCTCCCCCCTCCTCCTTTTTAGGTTTTTTTAGGATCTAGGCCTGGTAATAATCTTGTACTTACAAATCAGGCCGTCGGATACTACGGCATAGCTAGTTATATGCTGGCCGGCAAAGCTATATAGTATTGAATGGGAGACAACAGTATAGGTATTTCCTAATTTAAGCTTTTGCTTTAAAGTGTACTTAACTGCCCTGATCTGCCTATACCACTAAGGTATCAGACTAGGGAATACTGTGTATATCTAAGGTAGTCTCGCTTATTTAAATGTATATATCGTAGTAATAATTCCTAACATAGGCAATTAGACACCTTATGAAGAACGGGTACATATTAGGTAAGATACACGTAAAAGCGCTGCTACCAAATTGTTAGAGCTCTTACTAGTTTCGGAACAGCACTTGCAATATAGATATAGAGTAGTGGTCATTACCAAAGAGAGACTGGTTTATTTTCATCAGTGGTTAATATACTCTTATCAGCCCTTGCTCCGCGCTTGGCGGCTCGATGTCAAGTCGTGGTGGTGGGAATGACGATAGGACTATTGTCGGTGGACTGCGGTCTTCGAATAGTGGAAGTGTGTTAAGCGTGACTATCTTTCTAGGGGCTTAGAAGATGCTTAGGAGATCACAACCCCTTAAGGGATCTACAGCATAGAGTGACCTGTGTCGTGATAGACGGGTTGTATGTAGTCAGGTCTCCGGTAATGAGATGTGAGGGGCCCTCCGGAGGCTACGGCTAGGTATCGTTGATTCAGCAGGGGCTTGACACGGTCCTTCCCCTCTGAGCGTCGGGGTTGCGGAATGTTGATTCGCCCGACTGCTACCAAGGGGAAGACACAAGGCAAACACCAAAGGTTTAAAAAGAGGAGAAGAAGCAAGCCCATGGTACCATGCTTACTTTGGCTTAGTCAGACGGAGAGAGAGACAGAGAGAGAGAGAAGAGGAAGAAAAAGCATATCAGGATAGAGCTTAAAGTCATATCAACCAAGAGATCTTGCTACAACCTTCAACGCACTCCATGAAAAGACAACAACCATAAACAAAAACGAAGCTGGTGCCGAAACTGCCAAAACTGCCAGAACCCGCATGGTCAAAACTTGACGTTTGGAAATACCGCAATAATGAGCTCAATCACTCTTTCCCACACCACAGATGTCAACCTACAAGCTGCACGTTTAACCCGGCATCTGTTGGACAATGATGGCCCTGATGATGACGCGGAGCTCATGGCATCTACCGTCTACGATACGGCCTGGCTTGCGCTGGTCAAGAAGCGAGACACTGGCGGACAGCAGCAATGGCTTTTCCCGGAGTGCTTCCAATACATTCTTGAAACGCAGCAAACGGACGGCGGCTGGGAGGCCCGCCGCTCTCAAGTGGATGATATTCTCAATACGGCAGCCTCGCTGCTCGTCCTTTGGCGCCATGCCTCCGAACCGCTCCAATTGACGTCTGGGCAAGCTGCAGAGGTGAAGGATCGGGTCGAACGGGCGACGGCTGCTCTCCAACATATGTTAGATGACTGGGACGTGTCTGCAGCGACGCACGTCGGCTGCGAAATAATAGTGCCGACGCTGCTCCGCCTCCTCAAAGAAGAAGGGGCTTCATTCGAATTCCCGAGCAGAGATGCTTTGATGGATATGCACACGGCCAAGATGTCGGCCTTCAACCCAGAATGCCTCTATGGAAAGACGCAGGTGGCGGCCTTGCATCACCTCGAGGCATTCATGGGCCAAATCGACTACAGCAGGGTTGCACACCACAAGGTCGATGGCGGTTTCATGCGCTCGCCTTCTTCTACGGCGGCATACCTCATTGGTTTACCGGATCCGGCATGGGACGATGAGGCGGAGAATTATCTGGCCACCGTTTTGACCAAGACGGGCGGCAAAGGTGCCCCCGGTGCATTCCCCTCCACCAACTTGGAGTCTTCATCGGTATGATGGTTTAGCCTCCGGCTGCAAAAGAGCGCCGCCAATGACTAACGTGTAGTGCAAGAAGGCCATATCAACCCTTTTACAGGCCGGATTCTCGGCGAAGCACCTAGGCTCGTCCGCGACGGAGGTCGCCCAGCTACTGGACCAGGCGTTAGAGGAGGGAAGCGGCACCGTCGGAAAAAGTATGTATGTCACCACATGTGCTCCTCGAGAAAGACGCTAACCGGCCTCGGCCATGCAGTGCCCTCCGTCATGGCCGACGCCGGCGATACGGCCCAAGTTCTCGGCGCGCTGGGTAAGCTTGGTATTCCCAAGCCTGCCAAGCTGGATTGCGTGACAAGCAACCATACCCGAATCGATCCGTCGGACCGCGGGTATAACAGGTTCGGCGTCATCGGCAACGTCCTCATCGCGCTGCTGCACCAGCCCGACCCGGCCAAGCATATCGGCCAGATTTCCGTTGTGCTCGAAGATTTGTGTCATGCTTGGTGGAAGACTCCTTGGCCGGTCCAAGACGAACGAGTACGTAGCCGATGAAGAACACTGCAGCTGGAGTGACCACGTGTCTAACCCCGTGACAACGCCAGAACCTTTCTCCCTTATATCCCGGCATGGTCGTGGTACAGGCCCTGGTAGAGGTGCTCGATCTGGTGGAAACCGACAGGCTGCCCGAGTCTCTGGTGTCCGATACCAAGATCAGGACCAAGATAGCAGTCGCCATATTCCACGTAGCCATCCGCACGGTAGAGGCGCAGGAGGGCGAGGGCTCATGGGGCGAGTCGGTGGAGGAGACGGCCTACGCTGTCATCCTTCTCTCGGGAGCGGCTCGGATCACCATCTTCGACCCGGTCAGGCAACAGCTCGTCGACGCCGTGCGGAGGGCTGAGAAATGGCTTGGGCCCAGGGCCTCGCCGGCGGGAGACCGTCTTTGGACCGGCAAGCTGACTTACGGTAGCCCGGTTGTGACTCGGGCCTACCGGCTCGCCGCCCTAAGGTCCGCGTCGCAAATCGCAGCAGCGGGTACGGTAGGACGTTGCTTGCACACTGCCGGTCCCGCGCGCGAGTCGCTGGCGTATGTCAAAGTATACCGCGCCACACCCCTGTTTTCCGACGTCCCGGAGCATCGACTTCTCACAGCCGTCATAGAGAGTTCGCTCTTTCTGCCGATGCTGAAAGAGCACACATACGACGTGTTTACGCGTGAAAACGTGGGCAAGGATAAATATTTCACCTTGATACCTTTTACATGGACCGGTTGCTGCATGATCATGGGGCTGCAGCCGTCGGCCGAGTTCCTGTGGGAACTGACGACCATTGGGGTCTTGGGCTTCCAAGTCGACGAGTTCATCGAGGGGGTGGCACAACCCGTGTTCGCCGGCAATCATGACGTGGTAAAGCGGTACGTGCGATACCTCCTGCCTATGGAGCCGAGTGATTCGGCTACGGAGCCGGACGGGCTCCAGGGCATTGAGCGCCTCAAGCCGCTGCAGTCGTTTAGGAACTTTATCATGCAACACTGGGCCGTCGCGGCGGCGACTCCCGCCGACAGACTCAACCTTGCGCGCGAGCTGCGGGCGTATCTCCTTGCGCAGATCCAGCAGGCGGAAGACAACGTCCGCTTCGCCCAGAGTGCCGTATTCGCTCCCGCGACGAGCTACTTTTCCTGGGCGCGCTCCATCGCTACCGACCACATTGCGTCACCTCTTTACTTCGCCTTCCTGGCATGCCTGATCCCGCAGACTGTCTGCCCTTCCCTAGCTGGTGCGGACATCCTGCCTACTGTCGAGGAAAAGTACTACGCCGAGGCTGTCAGCAACCACTCGGGCTGCATGTGCCGCATCTACAATGACTTGGGTTCCGTCTCACGCGACGCCGCGGAAGGGAATATCAACTCGCTCGATTACCCCGACTTTGACCATACGGTAAGCAAGACTAAAAAGGAGGCCCTGTGGGAGATCGCCCAGTTCGAGAGGGCGGCTTGGGAAGATGCCTTGAGGAGGCTAGAGGGGGCCTCGAAGAGACGTATGGCTCAGCTGGGGGACAAGGCAAGGAAATCGATCGAGATGAGGATGAAATATTGGCGCATGTATTGCCACATCACAGATTTGTACGGGCAGATTTGGGTGGTACGGGACTTTTCTAGTGACGTTATCCAAGCCGCGCGCCGTTAGACAGACAGGTCGGTCGAGGTTTTTACCCAGCCCGCCGTTAACAAACGGGGAGTTGTACAGTTTGTTGCGTTGGCACCGTCCAAAACCTTTTGCATGGTCCGTGCACAGAAACCCCCTATTTTCTAAAAACCAAAAAAGCCAAAAGTAGGGCTTCTAGCCTCAAAGTATTAGCTATAAATCTAGAATAATCTTATAATATACTTTATAGCCTTTTCTATATAATTTATTTTTTATAAAATTTAATAATTAAAGCTTGCTCTTATATCTAAGATTCTAGAAATATAGGCCTGGACGCTGCAAACGCAACCACCAAAAACTTCCCTGTTGCGTTTACAGCGTCCAGGCCTATATTTCTAGAATCTTAGATATTACATCTAGGCAAATAGTTATAAATATAAGTAAATTTATATAAGTAGTAGACTAGTATACCTAGTTTTATATATTTTTTAGAAAATTATATTCTTTTTATATAAGTAGATATACTAGAAAGTAGGTTTTTTAGTTTTTAGAAAATAGGGGGTTTCTGTGCACGGACCATGTAAAAGGTTTTGGACGGTGTCAACGCAACAAACTGTACAGTGCTGCCGCCTGAGCATTTGCATCATCGGGAACTTTTCAGGTTTTGTTTTCGTTCTTAATCTTTTGCATTCCTCTGACGCTGCTGCGGACCGGGTCCGTTTCGTAATCTCCCTTCATGTTTGTCCCACTGCCCTGCGGTGGAAGCTTTGTCCGGCCTTGATACCCGCCGAGGGAGTAGGTATTTTCGAATCTGCTGATATGCAACGCTTCACGGACGACCTAAGGACCCTATTGTGACTCTGGCCTCGTTGCGGAGGCCGGTTTCGACGGTGAGGAAAGTGCGCCGTAGTTATCAGCTCCCGGTGTCCATAAAGCCCCGCCAAACTCTATCCATCCATCCCTTATACTCCGACTAGCCCAAGGCTCGGCATCTCACTTGGCTAAGGTGTATAGAGGTTAGCCTTCTCATAGGGAGGAGGTCAACAGGACAGTAGACTATGTACCTAAAGAGCACGTAAGTGTTCACATGCCCTTAGGGGATATTGTCTACTGTTGGTAGTTACCTAGTTGTCCTATGACATTGCGCCTGAGGTTTAGCTACTAATAATTGAGGCTTGTATATGGGTAAATGTATTGAGGCAAGATATATAGGTTATAAAGAATATGAATGACTATTTCTATACCTTATAGATAACAGAAAGCTTATACGACATTCATTTCTCTGCAAACCCATACGGTAGGTGTCACGACAGCTTCACTTACACCCGGTACTTGACATCACCTGTATAATGTGCCATGTTATCACGTGGCGCATTACTTACTACTCTTAAGATAGCTCCTATTTTACGAATCTGTACCTCAAGTAGCTTTTATATCTGCTATTCCATGACAGAAGCTGTGATCTACAGAAGGACACCGTCTCACGCCCAATAGGTCACACCTCTCACAGACCATCTAAATCAACCTCTTCTTTGCGACGCCTTACTCTAATCTGCGCCTGCCGGTTGGGGGACAGGTTGAAGCCATAAACCTGCACCGACGTGTCTGACCCGGAGGCCAGCTCGACGTCGTACTTGAGGAGGAAGTGGCAGAGGGCGATCTTGACCTCGTTTGCGGCGAAGAAGCGCCCGGGGCAGGCGTGCTGCCCGTGGCCAAAGCCAAGAGAGTCTGGCCCAGTAGTGACAAAGTGCGCCAGGTGCTCCTTGCCCGGTGTCTTCCGCATCCGGAGGAAGCGGTAGCCGTCAAACTCATGCGGCCTCTCGTAGATAGCAGGGTCTTTCCGCGTTGTGTTAGCAACCGCACACTTTACGCCCTTTGGGATGACAGTTCCGTCTGACAGGTGGATGTCGGCATCTGCGATGCGTTGCATGGACACTGCGATATAGGTGTTAGCTTTAGTTTCTTACGGATAACAACTTGATGCCCCTCTTTCTATTCGTGAAGGCGACGGTCTGGGCTGGCACATGCCTTGCTTAATCGGCTTTAACCTCTGCGTCTCCTTTATTACGCTGTCCATAAGCTTTAGGTTGTATAATGAGGTCTTGGCCCATCCCTCCTTACTGAGTACCTCGATGATCTCAACCTGGAGGGCGGCGATCAGCTCCGGTTGACTAAGGATGTTGAGGATGACCTGGGTCAGGAGGTCGGTCGTCGTGTGGATAGCAGCAATGGCCAGGGCGAGCTGGTAAATCGCTGGGTCGTACTTTGATCTTGGGGACTCCTCCTCGCCCCACTCGATAGCATCGTCGTACATTGGGAGCGGCCGGCCCTGTAGAGCGGCCTCGCGCTTCTCGCGAGCTCGGGCGTCGATTACGGGCTGTATGATAGACCGGGCTTTCGCGACGTGGCTGCGGACGCGCTGACACTCCGGCAGGAACCAGTGGACGATGCTTCTGAGACGTTTAGGGACGATGTGGAGCTTCTCGATTGCCATGAAGGCGTCAACAGCATACATGACGGTGATTTCCAGCCAAGCCTGATTACGGCAGAGTTCTGCCCCGAGAAAGACCCGGGACGACAGCCTGGAGACAACGCTCATAACGGTCTGTCCCAGGTTGACCTCATGCCATTCTAAGGTCACCGTGTTAGGAATAGGTCATTACCTTAATTAGAAACAGGAGGAGGCTTGCCTGGAGAGTCACCCAGGGTGGCCTGAAAGGAGGAAGCCGTCTCATCAGAGAGCGGCTTGGTTATCCTAGCTATCACATAATGAAATCAGCTTAGCTGCAAATTTGTTCCAGCGAAAGCCTACAAAGATATAGAAGAAGAGTAGTACCTAGGGTTTTAGTGAGCTGCTTCTTAGCTACTATAGTCATGATCTGGATGGCCTGCCCTTCCCCAAAGGCCTCAAAGCCAGGGAGGTAGGAATGAAAGTCCTGTGTAGATTGGAGTCAGCATCTGCGGTACGCCTTACTGCTGTTCTCCTATAGTCACCCTACATGTTCCGTGTTTTTTATGAAGCTCAGATCAGGGTTATTCCGGATCTCGTCGACGTATTTTGGAGACAGCATTATGGTACATCCTACATCCGACATAAGGCTGTACGGTTGGTCCCCAAACCTCTCAGACCCTCTATTGATCAACTCGCCGCTTTTCTGGACGAAGTCTTTCTTGACGCCGGTCCGCGTCAGGTCGAACAATCGTGGCGGGTTGATCAGAGGCGGCAGTTTGAGCTTGTGGTGGCTCCAGATCCAGTACACAACAACTGTGGCAAGCAAGACAGCGAGAACGCTCCAAGTCTCAGGGGAGGGTCTTGAGCTGTCTGCCGCGGTGAGTGCCCTGTCTCCGGGCAAGGGAGAAGCTGACGGTCCTAGTGCCATTGTGGAAGCTTTTGAAGTAAGCGATGGTACTCGTCTTAATAGATAGAATGGGGTTGGATTATGCACATACTAACACCATTCACTATCACACCTCTCATTACGATATATATATTGTTATGCCTAGCGGGCGGGCCCAAGACAAGAACTGCTGGCTGAGACTTTCCTAATACGGACGGACGGGGTGTTTGTCGGACTTGGTGATAAGCCGTCCAGGCGCGAACCGGGGCCTCGGGGTCATGAGTGGATGCTGGCCGGCGCTAAGCAGGGCTTCTCTTCTTGTGTATATAGAACATGACTCGTTAACTGGCAAGGGCTGAACGATTAGCCGAAACCTCGAATAGAATCGGTAGCAGTTAACAGGCAGACAGATTGCGGGTCAAACCTTAGCATCTCAGACTATCTCAAAGTACTAACCCACCTCCTCTTAAGTCACTTATGTCCCCACACCACCAACTTCTCTGTCCCCACACCACCAACTTCAAATCCTTAACTTCTAAGTTAACAAAAAGAGAAAAATAGAGCTTCTATAATAGTATATACTATAGCCTAATTATCTTAAACTTAAAGGGGAGTCTCTAAGAGTAAATTCCTCTAAAAAGTTAATTTATGCTACTATATTCTAGATGCACCTTAAGCTAATAGAGATATCTCTGTTTTCTTCTTTTTTCTCTGGGAAAAGGGTGAGCTGGTCTGTGCGTAGGTCTGTGCAGGATTAAGCGAGAGACTTCAAGAAGTACTTTGATGACTCAAGTGCTGCCCCACAATGTGTCTGCCTGTTAACCGCTCCCATAGAATCCTGCGTAACCTACTTCTAGGCAAGTTAAAGTCTACTATATAAGGGGGTATCTCTAACCTAGATTAACTTTCATAGCTCCTATACTACTTATCAGAGTTAATGTTAAATTCTAGGGGGTTAATGGCGGGTTTATAGTGTTAGGGGGGAGGGGGGGGGGGGGGGGTTTGTCTAGATGGAAGGGGAAGAATTTAGCAGGAGGTAACTGTTAAATGGAGCGGAATAACAAAGTGAAATAATAGGGAGTCCCTCTAGGTTTCTCTAGTGAATCAGCCCTAGTTAGAGATGTATTTGGATAATTACAGGTCTAAGAATTAGTTAGGATCGCCTCCTAGGAAAGAGTATGTTTGGAGGTTTTCCTAAAACAGTATGTATATATTATATAACGTATATAGATAGTAAGCCATATACTATGGTAAGTTTAACGAATGGTCAAAAAGCAAAGAAATCAAGATACAGAAGCTACAGCAAAAACCATACGCGCGAATATTGCTCAAACGTCCCTTAAAGCCGCGTTCAGGTACAAAAACGTGTCACACACATGGTCAACAATATGATCCATTTCGGGGTTCAGGCAGAGCGACATATCCGCCGCAATGCCGACCATGTAATGTCGGTTGTCGGGTTGTGGAATAGCCATAAACCCCAAATCCATGCTGCATTCACCAGCCAAAATCGGCATGCAGGACAGCATCTCACCGCTCACAGTCGACTTGCGCTGTATGACGGTGGGGGTGAGCTGGGTGGACAGTTGGAGACTGCGACCGTTGGTGGTGCTCTCGTGGGAGGGTCCCTGGTTTTGAAAGGTTACGGTAACGCCGAAGCGGTCCGCGTCGGGAGCCCAGTCCACTCCGGCGTTGTCCCTGATGAAGTTGAACTCTACAGCCTCGTACGGCGCGCTTTCGAGGTACTGACTCTGGACCTGGAGTGCCAGGGCCTTTAGATCCGCCGCGCCATCGAGGACATTCCGGATCCTCAGGGGCATAGACTGGATGAGGAGTCCGACGACGCGCTGCATGTGCGGAGGCAGCCACTGCCGGCCCGAGGTCATGCTGCAGATCAACAAGTCTCCCTGGCCCGTCTCTCTGGCCAGTACAAGGGCGCACGCAGTGGTAAAGACGGCGGCCTGCGTGATGCTGGCCGACGCTCGCGCCTCGGGGGGGACGTCGACGAGGCGAAGTAGCAGCCCGGTGTCGTCGCCGGGCTTGCGCATGGCCCGCACGTTTTGCATGGTGGTGAGAGAGGAGCCCTCGAGAACGCGTCGCCAGTACTTGAGGCACTCGGGTTGGTTGTCGAGCTTGCGCTTCACGAAGAGGGCGTGGCGAGTCGGCGGCGGCACAGCGACGCCCTCGTACAGCGACTGGAGGGTCTCGATCATGACGGGGAGAGACAGGCCGTCCCAGAGGGCGTGATTGATGCGGAGCACCAGCCGCAGTTGGCCCTGCTGGTTCCGGAGAATGGCGACGCGAGTCCAGAGAGCCCCCCCTCCAAGCTTGGGGGGGTTCCTCTGGTCGGATTCGCGGATGGAAGACGTTGCGGCGTCAAAGGCCTCGTCCTGCCCGTCGACGTCAATGTTGTCAACTGGAACGTCGGGGCGATCCAGGACAACGTGCCATATGCGACCCTGGGCACGCACAAAGACGGTGCTGAACGAGTCGATTGTGTGGACGAGGGACACGCAGGCTTCGGCCAGTTTGTTGCGGTCGTAGCTGGCAGGCAGATTGACGTAAGATACTAGTAATTCCCCAGCGACGTCGCCGTGGATGTACCAGGAAACATTTTGAGCGGCTGGGTAGACGTCCAGCACGCGATTGCGGTACTGGGCATCTAGTGTCGGACGAATGGCCGATTCAACAAACGCCTCCCCGCCGGGGCACAGCTCAAAGTTGATATAGTCATCGGACGCCGCCGGTGCCCCGGCGCCATCGCCGTTATCGTTGTTTGCCACGCGGGGCAGGTGGCCGGCCATGGCAGCAGGCGTGGGATGGTCGAAGACTGCCTTGACCGGTACCAGAACATGGAAGCGGATGCGAAGCCGCGCGGCCAACTTCATGGCGAGCAGCGAGTTGCCGCCCAGGTCGAAGAAGTTGTGCGCGACGCCGACCTTGTCAAGTCCGAAGAAGTCCGAGAACTCTTGACACACGGCGGCCTCGGCGTCGTTGCTCGGCGCCATGTAGCGAGTCGTGGCTTCGGGTGCAATCGGCGCCGTGCTGGCTAGTTCGGCAAGCCGTTTGCGGTCGACCTTGCCGCTCGGGGTGAGCGGCATTCTGTCGAGGATGATGATGGATTGCGGCGCCATGTAAGTTGGCAGCACGTGTCTGAGCCGTTTACGGATGAGGACTTGCATGCCTTCGGTGTCGTCGGTATCTACCACGCCGTTTTGCTGCTGCCGGCCGCCATCGACATCGGCCGGCTTCCGCAAAGTCACGAAGCCGACGAGTCTGGCATCGCGAAGCTTGTCATTCTGAAGGATGACAACAGCCGAAGTACTGACCGCCTCGTGGGCCCTGACCATGGCCGCTTCGATCTCGGACGGCTCCACCAAGTGGCCCCGGACCTTGACCTGGAAGTCCATGCGACCCATGAACTCAATCTGACCGTCTACAGGCCGGCAGCGCCCCCTATCGCCGGTCCTGTACGCGCGTACCCGCCGTCCATCGACCGTGGCATGCACGAAGCGGTCAGTGTCGAGTGCCGGGTCGTGGTAGCCGCGCGCCAGCCCGTCGCCTGTCACAACGAGCTCTCCCACTACGCCTGGGAGCACAAGCCGCTGGTGAGCATCCATAACGTAGACGCCCGTGTTGCTAATGGCGCGGCCAATGGGGACGCCGTTAGGGAAGACGTCGTCCGACTGGACCTCGTATATGGTGCTGTGGACGCCGTTCTCGGTCGGGCCGTAGGTGTTGAGGACTGCGCGCCTGACCAGCCTCTTGGCCTTAGACGCATCGCGGGGGTCAAACCTATCGCCGACGTTGAACAGGACGTCGAGGTTACTAATAGCGCCTGGGGCGATGGCAAGGCATTGCTTGAGCAGCGTAGGCGTCATCCAAGCGACTGACGCCCTTTCGCGTCCTATCACAGCCTCGAGCTGTTTGCCGTCCAGCATCGACAGGTAATCGATGCAGACGACGGTGCCCCCGTTCAGGAGGGCCGTCCACACCTCCTGGACCGAAACATCGAAACTGATGTTGGCCATGTGCGCCACACGAGGGACCGGCGGCAGGTAGGCCATCACGTTGCTCTGGACAACAAGGCGCAGGATGGCGCGGTGCTCGACCATGACGCTTTTAGGCTTGCCCGTGGACCCGGACGTGAAGATAATGTAGGCCAGACTCGTGGCTGTCGGGCCGTGGCCCTGACGGAGCAGATCAGGCTCCCCGTGTTGCTCCGTCAGGGCGTCACCTATGCGGACGGCTTCAACGTCTGTCGTCGATTCAAGCTCTGGCGGTTGCACGCCGGGGCCCAGGAGGAGGAGCTTCCGGCCCGGCATGGAGCTCAGGATGGTCTGGATCCGGCCGGCGGGGTAATTCACGTCTAACGGGACATAGGCCAAGTTCGCCTTCAACACACCAAGGATGGCGACGATGGCCTGGCACGACCTTGGCGACAATATCGCAACCGGCGTTTCCGGCGGCATGTCTCGTCGACGCAGCCAGGTGGCCAACCGGTCAGAGTCGGTGTCCAGGCGGGAATAGGTCAGGCTGGACAAAGAGTCGCAGACGGCAACGGCGTCCGGGGAGGCCGCCACCTGTTGACGGAAAACGTCGACGACGTTCGAGTCCCGCGGGTAGGCCGATGGCTCTCCGGTGCCGAGGACCTGGGCACTGGAGGATGCGGCCACCAGAGGAAGCTCGGCGATTGGCTCCGAGGGCCGTTTCAGCCCTTGCCGGAGCACAACCTGGTAGACGTCGACGAGCGCCTGGATGGTCTCGGGCTCGAACAGGTCCCTAGCGTACACAGCCACGCCGCGCATGCGGCCCCCTTCCCCGCGGCGGAGATGCATCTCGACGTCGAACCCGATAGACCTTCTCAGGCCCAAGACATCTTCGGCCAGCGGCTCGCTGCGGAGGCCCTCGAGCTCCGGCGTGTCGGGACCGTCGAGGTCGTGGAGGACAATGGCGATTTGAGCCAGAGGGTTGCGCGAAGTGTCCTTGTGCGCTTGCGGCAGCACCGCCGATACGACGCGGCCAAACGGCACGTCCGAGTTCTCAACGGCGGCCATGAGTGCCGGGCGCACGCGCTCCCGCACCAGCATCTCGAACGAGTCCCGCCCGCCGCCAACGCTGGTGCGCACGCAGACGGTGTTGGTGAAGAGGCCGATGAGCCCTTCCAGCTCGGCCTCGGGCCGGCCGGCGGTGAACACGGCGACCGTGGCGTCGTCGGCGGCGGTGACGCGGAATAACGCCGCACGGAAGGCTGCGAGTAGAATGACAAAGGGCGTCGTCTGTTGACTGTGGGCGAAGGCCCTCACCGCCTCGTCAGTATCTGCGTCGATGGAAAAGTCGATTGTTGCGCCGCAGCCAGAGGGCATCAGAGGCCGCAGGTGGTCGGCCTGGAGCTCGGCAGGTTTGCTGTCGGCCAGCTGCACCGTCCAATACTCGATCTGTCTCTGATATTTGCGCTGCTGGGCGGCCTGCATCTGCCACGTAGCATAGTCGCGATACTGCAAGACGAGCGGCGGCAGCGGCGAGGAATCGTCCAGCTGGCCCTCGAGTGCCTTCGAATAGAGCTGGTTCAGCTCTCGCAACAAGATATTGATGGACCAGGCGTCCGATATGATGTGATGCAGCACGATGGACAAGACGTGGTGATCTTGGCCCAGCCGCAGCAGCCCAGCCCTCCACGCAGGTTGGGCGCCCAGGTTGAACGGGGTTGTCTGGTGCCGCGCCAAAGTCTTACCCAAGGTGGCATCGTCAACGTCCATCACCTCGAGTTTTGTCATTCCAGGCGGGTTGACCACCTGCAAGCCGACGCCATCGCGGTCCTCAAACGTCGTGCGCAGCGTCTCGTGGCGCCGCTCCAACGCCATCAACGCCGCCTCGAGCGCCGGTTCCGAAAGTGGGCCTCGCAGCCGCATTGCGACCGGCAACAGATACCACTGTGAGTCCGGGTTGAGCTGATCCAAGAACCACAACCCCTGCTGGCCGAGAGACTGCTCCACAGGCCCCTGATACGACGTGGACGCGGGGATACGTGGCCCTGGTCCTGCCGCGTCTCGGAGCTGTAGAGCGGCCTCCAGGCTGGCTAGTGTGGCCCCGCTCAGTAGATCTGTCGCCTTGAGCGACATGCCCTTCTTCCTTGCCGTGTACACGAGCTTGATGGCCTTGATCGAATCACCGCCCAGGTCCAGGAAACTGGTCGATTCGGAGACTGTGCCGTCGGCGTCGGGGGCCAGGCCCAAAGCTTCTCTCCAGAGTCGACGCAACGTGTGCATCTTGTCATCTCTTTTGTCGGAGCCGTCCTTCTGCACTCGTCAGCGGTTGCCCCCGGTCTCCCTCTACCAAGCTGTCCTAATATCCTTTCTACTCACGGGTGCTGATAAGCCTAATGCATGCATTTTCTGCGGCAGGGAATCCATCTCAGCGTCTGGCTTTCTTTTCTTTCTGTTGTTTGAGTGGATGTTGGATGTAACCGCTAGTACTCGACACGACGGCTCGTCGGTTACAGAAGCACCAAGTTGATGTACTTGGCCACCGACACTATATGATGGGCGCGTCTCAAATACTCTAACGGATTGCAGGTTCCTAGGACAGAAGCCTGCCTAGGGTTGACTTTAACGTCTGCGCCGTTTAGCTTTTGTCGACCCCATGCTGATGGACATGTAGTTGGGCCCGGTCACCCCCCGACTAGATCCTAAACCTTAAGACGCATCGAATTAGATTGCTTTCACCAGAGGTACTAGGGGAGTTTGAAGCTGGACATTCGGACTCTTTGTTTATTCCGTAGGCCGTTGATTAAGGTTTCAAGTACCGTAGCGTAGTACGCCAGCTTTCCAACAGTGCAAGGTATGATATATTGGTCAACGGACACACGGAACCCGAGGATTGGTTAGACAACCTGACATCGGTCCGGCGGAATTGGCGGGTATACCGCACACGGAGATAGGACTTATCGGATAATTGTAGGCAGGTATAAGGCTAGCTTATTAAAAGCCTACTTATATATTTATTTTACTTATTAAAATAAAAAATACTACCCTAAAGCTAAAAAAGAAGTTATCTTTTATTATATATATAATTTATATTTATATTATGTTCTTAATTCCTTTATTATATAGGTATTTTAATAAACTATAGTAACTAATATTAAAAGGCTAAAGCTTATATAATAAATAAGGAGGTAATATAGTTTATAAATAACTAGGTTATATTTCTATTATACCCTAAAGGGTACTTCTTTACCTATTTTTTAAAAAGTAAAGAGCTATTTAAGATAGATATAAATTTATATATAAGGGCCAATAAGGGTTATATTTTATAGTAAGTTATATTAATCTTTATTACTATTCTAATAATCTAAAGTAATAATAAGTCTAAAACTAATATATATATATTAATCTATAAACTTTATAAAATGCCTTAATCTTTATGTTTAAGTGTTTTCTACTATAAAAAGTATATATAATAAGAGGAAGAAATTAATATTTATATTAATATTAATATTTATTTAAGGTTTGTTTTCCCTTTTATACTAGTAATAACTGTCTTAAACGACCTTACTTTCTAAAGAAACACCTAATATAATTATATAATTCTAAATACACTTAATTAGCGCTATACCTTAATTATATAAACAACCTAGTAAAGCTATCTTACTTATATAGATAAATTAAACTAGGCTTATACTTCTTTCTAGTTAGTAGCTAAAGCTAAGACTATAGAGGTTTAAAAGTCTATGTATAGACTTTTTATAGTAGTAAAAGGCTACTATAAGTTAGTATATATTCTTTCTTTTATACTAATATTATTTACCTAGCTATATAATTAATACTACTTATACTATTCTTAACTAGTATATTATCTTAAGGTAGATATACTATTTAGAAATATTATACCTACTACTTTTAACCCTATTAAAGTTATAAGCTATCTAAGCTATCCCTTATAGAAACAGCTAGCTAGATAATACTACATATAGTATACTAGCTAGGCAGCTAACTACTAAGGTAGTAATTAGTAGCTTTTAAATAAGGCTATCTTTAGCTTAGTTATTCTATATACAGACTTAGCTAACGACGTATAGTTAAAGACCATTAATAAAGTAATTAATAAACTTAAGGGCTTCTTAAGTTATCTAGTTAATAATATAGCTAAAGGAGAGAATACTAAAGTAACTATTAAGGTAACTAACTAGTATTTAGGCTAGTACTAAAGTGTGCTTTATATAATTTAGTATATATAAAATAACTAGCGCCTATAGAGAAGAAGCTTTTATAGGATATAACTATAGACCTAGCTAATAATAGACCTAATTAACGTTATAAAAATTAGTACTACTATTTTAGATATAGATGTAGAATAAGCTAAGTAAAAGAGAGTAGTAAACGCTAGTTTTATATACTATAATCTTTTTTATATAATATAATACCCTAAAGGGTATACTATATTATATAATATTATTAGTAATAATAAAGAAAAGATTATATCTAATAGTATTAAGTTACTACTAATATATATATATAATAAGTAAGCTAATATAGTAAGTAAGCTATTTTTCTTTACCTTTATACTTTTATTTAAGTAAATGTATTTATAACGTATAAAATTAATTAAAACTAATTATTATCTTTTTCTTTAGTATTATTCTTGTAACGGTCCAAGGCGAGGTGTATTACAACCAGCTATGGCGACTACGTACAAGTATCCTCAGATGAGGATCAGAAGAGAAAAACAGTACATCTCTGCCTCACCGCTGGTCTGATCAGGGCCATGCCGCACTGGCCATCGGATCGTCGGCATCGTGGGTTCCGTGGTAGGCCTGATCCGGGGTGGCTTATGGCCGCGATATCTAGCAAGGCCTTACATAAGCCTAGCCTATTACAATTCTAAAGTACCTAATATATTTATATATTATACTTTATCTTTTTATAATCACTATATTACTAACTATATACTTTACCTCCCTTTATATAAGCACTTTTTATATAAATATATTTACCTTTAGTATTAATAATCCTCTTTTTAACCTATATTACCTCTAATTCTATAGTATTAAGTAACCCTCTAAGATATAGTTAGCTTTTCTTAGTTCTCTAACGCTTACTTAATACCTTATTTACTATATAAAGCCTAATAACCTTAGCCTTAATAAGAGCTAGTTTATAACCTAACTTACTAATACTTTTTATCTATAAGTTAATTACTTTATATAATAGTATTAGTAAGCTACCTTAATATTCCTTAATCTTTTTTTTAGTAAAGTAAAGCTTTATATACTATTAATTACTATTATTAGCGTCTTTAGATCCTAAGAGCTCTAACTGCTTAGCTATAAGTTAGATAGTATAGGCGTCTTTAGCTTAAAATCTAAGTAAAAAATAATAACTTCTAAGTTAAAAGGTATAAAGCTAGCCTATTAGAAACCTACTTATATATTTATTTTACTTATTAAAGTAAAAAATACTACTTTAAAGCTAAGAAAAAAGTTATCCTTTATAATATAATATATTTATACAGTAAGTAGAATAATATAGTAAGTAGAATACTTTCTTATTATACCTTAAAGAGTACTTTTTTATTTATTTCTTAAAGATTAAGAAGTTATCTAAAAGAGATAGAAATTTCTATATAAGGGTTAATAAGAGTTAATAAGAGGTAAAAAATACCTTATAAATTATTAGCCTACTCTAACCTTTTAAATAAAAAAACCTTTTATTTAGCCTACTAAATAAAGGCTAGATTTAAAAAGGAGGGTTAGGGTAGGCTAATAATTTATAAGGTATTTTCTACCTCTTATGAACCCTTATTAACCCTTATATAGAAATTTCTATCTCTTTTAGATAACTCCTTAATCTTTAAGAAATAGATAAAAAAGTACCCTTTAAAGTATAATAAGAAAGTATTTTACTTATTATATTCTTCTACTTACTATATATATTCGTTATATAATCTATATTTATATTACTTTCTTAATCTTTTTACTATATAAGTACTTTAATAGACTAAAATAACTAATATTAAGAGGCTAATGCTTATATAATAAATAAAGAGGTATATATAATATAATATTTTTTCCTCTTTATAGTAGTTATTAAAGAGAGTTAATTTATAGTTATTATAGCTATTTAAAATTAAGAGGTAGTAAGTACCTTTTATATAAGACTTTATATACTAATTATATTAGAATAGCACTTCTAACGTAATTATACAAAGACAAGGACAAGCAAGATTATAACTAGCAGTAGGCTAGTATAACTAGTAAAGCACACTTATATAAACCTTGTAGTTAAACTAGACATATAAAACTAAGATTTATTGTCTATACAAGTTAGATACTTTAGGTATAAAGGACATATATAGAAGATAATATCTTGTACTTTAAAGATAATTATAGAATAATATATCTTTAGTTTACCTTATCTTTAATCTATTTAAGTATAATTATACCCCTATAGATTTCTTTTTATATATATAGAGAAAGTCTATTTAATAAATTATAATATTTTAGCTAATTTAGGCTAATTTTCTTTATTATTTATCTATTTTTACTTAGGTAAATATACTAACTAACTAGAAATAAGCTATTAGTATACTAAAAGAAAAAGTAATATCTACTTATTATAATAATATATAGAAGTTTTACCTAGCTATCTATATAAACACTTTAAATAATAGAAGGCTATTTATAATTACTAAGCTACTTTATATAAAGCCTTTTATATTAGTTTAAAGTTATAATAACCTTAAAATATAATAGTATTTTTATTAAGAAGCTAGTCTTATTAAAATTATAGATATTATAATCTTAAACTTTATACTTAGTAATTATATTTTATATAAGTGTAAATTAGCCTAAAATAATTATAGAATCTTTAGCTAATACTCTCTAATAGTTAATCTAATATTATAATTATATATTAAGGTCTAGTTAGTATTATATAAAGTTCTTTACCTATTATAGTCTAATATATATTACGTTATATATATTAAAGAGATAGTTAGCTATATTTTATATATCTTTTAGTTATAGTAAAAATCCTTAATTAATTAGGTTAAAAACCCTTTTATAAATTACCTTCTCTTCTATAGATATTATCTTTGTTAAATTTATATAAGTTTTATATTATAGTATTTATCTAATATATTAGTTATATAGTATTAATTAAGGGATAATATAGATAAAGGTAGCTTTATATATAGATAGTTTTAAGTCTTTTTAAATACCTACTAGTATAAGGATAATATAGCTTTTATTTAAATAGACGTCTATTATTATATATAAAGAAAAACTAATATATAAAGGAAGTATATAAGAAGAAGAAAAAGTATTTAGCTTACTATATTATCTAGCTTACTATATATATACGTTAGTATTATTTAGTAAGAGACATTAAAGTAAGTACTAAATAATAGTATAAAGTTCTTACTAGTATACTAGTAATTATATTATTTAAAGTATATAGTAATTAATTATATAACTAATAAAACTAAATAGCTTAAGTATTTTAATATAACTAAGAAGATAAATAAAAGCTTTTTTTATTAAAAATAATATAAAAACTATAAAGTTAATTTACTAAAAAGCTATTAAAGTCTATTCTGAAGTACTTCTAAGTCTATCCTATATATAAGTCCTAATTCCTATTAGTATACCTAAGACTAATATCTTAATATTAGTCTTTTACTATAAAGTACCCTTAGTATATTAGTCTATACTTTAGAACTACTTATTGTTTATTAGTTTTTTATATTTTTATATAACTTATACTATAGTTCTACTAATCTA